GCAGCCAGCTCACAGCTCAGGAAGCAGAGCCATTGGCTTCAAGGCCAGCAATGCGGTGCCTTGCCGCAAGATCTGAATCATTCGGTACCTTCACAGGACCCCGCTACTGCAATTCAGGTCATTCTTCGGAGCTCAAGCTCGCATTCGTGTGGTGGGCAAGGCTCTCCAGGAGCCTTTCGACAGTCGTTTTTCTTCGTCTCCCGAGGTGTGATGTCTGGCGGTGGCTTTATGGGCTACCTCTACGGAGGGCTCGTCCCTGGGACCAAAGTCAGTTTTGAGGAGTTCGCACCACAGCAAGTTTGGAGACTTTGGGGCCTGATTAGTCAGCTTGCTTTCCATTGCGAGCTTGTCGCGGCTATTTCTCGATCAGCCAGCCGGCCGGCCGGGGGACCAATAACCACAGTCGGCCGGTGGGTACTACTACTACTACTACCACGACTACGACTACGAGTACATGGCCGGCCGGCCGGCCGCCCGCTATGGCCGGCCGGCCGGCCGCTGGCGAAATAGCAGGCCAGGTTGCCCGCACTGTCATAGCTTTCTCCAATGTCAGTTCTTCAGTTTTCTCCAAAGTCAGTCAGTTTGCTGGGGCTTGCTGCTGAGGTGAGTACAGTGGCCGACACCGCCAAGTTTGTTGGAAACTCAGCAGATCTCAAAAGAGCCTTTGGAAGATGATGCCATTTGCGCAGGCTCCAAGCATCACCTCATTTGTTGTGCGACAGGGTCACAACAGATGTGTCAATTGTGGGAAGGCATTTGCTGCCTCCAAAGATTAGTGGGTTCCAAGGGCCCCCCTCCAATGGGCAGAACAAGGTTTGCTTTGACCAATGTTGCAGGCAAAGGAAAGGACAGAACCAATCAAGTGCCTTCTGACTGATCCGTCAGAGAGACCCTTTGCATGCTCAAGGTCCTAATGCTGATGAGGAAGGGCCAGCTGCCAACCGGCCAGCGGTTTTTGAAGGCCTCGAGCATTACACAGATGGAGCGCAATCGCATCAAGGAAGGTGACAAGGCCCCTTGGCTCAAGTTTTCACGCTCAACACTTGGCCGTTTTGAAGAAGCTACAGGGGTTCCTGGCATCGCTACGAACAGAGCATTCTTACTGCGAACGAAACCAGAAGCTACGGCAGCGAGGTGAACGGCCGCCCCCTAGACCCAACGATTCCGGTCCGGCGGTCTGGGCCGCCGATGTTTGAGGTGAACTTTCTGGGGAACATCGGCACCTATCGCAGCGGCACCGAGTATGGCATGGGCGGTGCGGCCTGTCACAAGCTCAGGGGAGGATTACAGAAGACGAGGGGGAAGAATATAGTGAAGCCCAGTGAAGCAGGCCTCAAGTTCTGAGTTGAAGCCAACTTGAAGCGCACTAGGTACCTACTGGTCCATCGACAGAGAGGATGATACTGCAGCGGTTTGGTTTACACAGCATGTGGACATGCAACTTGGTCAGAACATTTGGTGTGAGTTTTGGCACCAAAATGGTGCCGTGATTCCGTTTTTGTTGCATGATCTTTAGGAGGATCCTGCATCTCTTCCACAGGCTTTCACTGAGTGACTGGGTGTATCAAAACTAGGGAGACCTTCCAGTTCAACCCCCAGGAAGAAGGGAAATTGACCAAAACCCGGTAGTTGGAAGTCTCCCTCTGACAAAAATGCACTCCCTCCGCTCGAAGAAGATGTCTCCAAGGCCCGAAGTGCCCGAGATGTCTCTTGGATCCACCAATCGCGGCCGGCGCGTGCGGCGTTCGGCGTTCGGAGATCTGCTGTTTCACCGGGCGTGACACCTGCAATGCTTGCGGTGACTTACATTTCATGCGGGAGTTGGACACGACAAGGGCAGGAGCACCCGACTCGATCTCCAAATAGGATGGGCCTCATGATGCCTCATGATTCCTCCTGAGCATTTTGCAGAGCGGGCTCGCTTGATTCAAGGCATGAGAGAGGGAGGGTGAATTTTGGAGGATCAAATCAATGACATTAAAGAGACATCAAAGCCTGTGACATCTTGCGACATCGTACGTATGAAACCTCATATGGGCATCAAGTCATTTGCTGACCACCCCCCGCCTCGTTTAGGAAGGGCATCCACCATAAGAAGGCGGACCTTTGGGCCATGCTTCACCAGGCGGTGAAATCGACCAGGCGGGAGAGATTCTCAGAGGATCGACCAGGCTATCTCGGCTTGGTGTAGGCTGTGAATCAACTTAGGAAGTTTCCCTGTCCTTCGGGGCTTTGAGCTACGAAAAACATGTAACAAAGAAAAACAGCCAATGAAGGGGTCCTTCTTTGCTTGGTGTGGATTTAATTTTGCTTGAGTATTCCATCAAGGATCGCATCTAGTGGTCAACTGTTGGCCTAGGAATGTGCCGTGTACTCCTGTTGAGGGAGCTGACACCCCTCAGATTGCGAAGCCACCATGAACGACCATGACTCAGACTGCCACCTTTGACACCATACACTCATGCATTCCGCTTGCAAACTGTAGGTGCCAGGGTTCCAAACCGTTCAATCACCTTGAAGCAAGAACCCCCAACAATCACAATATATAATATACATCAACATAAAGAAGTCTAAGATCCTTAGCTACTACGTGTCGGATTCATCAGTGTGACTTGCCAAGAATTCCTGGCGCGGCCAGGCTGCAAAAGAGGATGCCTTGGGCTTATGGGGGCGCAGTTTTCATTGTTGTCAATTTTGTGCGATCAGCTTTATAGGTCTGAAAGGACAAGGACCTAGGACCTAGGGTCATCAAATCAATATTAAATCAAATCTTCTCATATCCAATCATCCATCATGAACTTCCAAGCACGTCAATCTCTCGATGTCTTCGATATGTATCCTCCTGATCTTCTTATTGTCCGGGCCTGGTAGGCTTCGCATTTTGGAACTTCCAATGGAGACGGACCGTGCGACCTCTGACCTCTTTGTTTGCTTTGTTCTCGGTGCGGAACTGCCGAGCAGTGCGAGGTCCAACGGAGCGCTGGGGCCAAAGAAGAAGACCAAGAGCTCCAAGTAGACGAGCTCTTTGTCCAGGAGAGAAGAAACAGGAAGAGATAGAAAGAAGAGCTCCACATATATAATCATATATATATATATCTATTTATATGATATATATATATATACATATGCCTTAGCTTAGCCTCACTTAACACCTATACATTGGTTTTGTCCAATTGCCTGGAACAGTCGGTAAACAAATATCACTATGTTTGAACAAGGCCTTTAATTACTAACCATCATCATCCACGGGTACTAGCAATAGGATAGGCCCAATCCATATGTACACACTTTGCATCTCGGGAGATGCTGCTGAGAATTTCAGCTGCCTTTGGAACATGCTCTCCGATTGAATAAGATTTGGTCAGTGATGCTTTTTGGCGCGATATCCAAGAGCTATTCTCATGTCATCTTGGTACTGTTTGCTTTCTGAGAGTTTGCTTGGATGTATTAAAGAGAAGCAAGTCCATCACGTTTTGTTTGTTGGTGGAGGCTCGAATCTCTGAGAGGAATCCGCTTGGATCCTAACCAATTAGTAGAGGCATCATTCTGCTTGGCCGAGGCATCATGCTGCAGGGCAGCTAGTGGCGACCAATCCTTTCACCAAAGGTTTGTAACATCACGAATTCTGCGCCTCTCACATCAATCAACACATGCCGCCACAAATTAAAACTGTAGAATGGTGCCAACTACGAAACAGTGTGGTATGTCAGCATGTGCAGTGCGCGAACTGCGCCAATCCATGCTGACTGGGGTCTTCCGACAAGTGGAGGGCGCATTTTTCCTGACTGAGAGGGGTCCAAAGCCTTCGCAGCCCTAGCGTTCTTTAAGGCAGGCTCGGTCGCTTAAAGGCTATAGTATATATAGGGGGTCTTGTGCGTAGTATATTGCACTCTCATTGAGACTCATAGGACTTGATTCAAGTCCTTTGAAGAACGTTGAATGGTGACTTGCAAAAGTTGCCCCTTTGTTTGTCCGCCGAGGTGCTCAGGAACCCAGTTTGTGGTCATCCCACGATTCAAGCAAACTTGTGACCATGTCAGGGAGAAGCTTCAACAGTCAGCCATTGGCTGTTCACAACCGTTCATGCAACCACATGCTTGAGAACTGCACAAGACACAAGTTTCTTTCCAAAGGATCTCTCTCAAGCAGGAAGGACCTGCCATCATTTGTCCATCCAAATCCAATCAAATCCATATTTGTCCCCGTACGGAGGCGGAGGGCTCTCAGAAGCTCTTGGGGACGTCCACCAGGACAGAGCACACCACTGCAAAGCACTTCGCCGTTAGAAAGCGGTCCATGCCACCCACCGAATCGAACCAAGAGGTTTTAGGCTTTGCAAACGAATTGAGCATGCAACATCCTATCAGTGGCGGTAAAGGAACCTAGTAGACTAGACTTGTTGATGGATTGATCCACATAACAAATATAAACCGGGGTCTTTGTCCAAGGCAGAGGCAGGTGCCAGACTGGTAATAGCCTGCTGGGGTGGGGCTTTCCGCAGTGAAGAGATCGAACACCTGATATGACCTGGACCCAGATCTTCTCCCCACCACCGCTGAAGCCGAGAGTGCTGCAAAAAAGGAGATTGTGCAGCTCATGTTTTGGACTTTGGGAGAAGCTTCTGCAAAGGCATCTAGCCTTTTCTTGTGGGCCCCTTTTTACAAATCGACCCTCGTTACACAGCTATTGTGGGCACTCGCTGCAAAAAATGTGATTCTGCAGTGGAAATCCTTGAGATGACTGTGGACCTACAAGCGCTACAAGGATGTTCAGCTTTCAAACAAGCGTGCCAAGGATTTTGGATGATTTTGGTACAGGATTCTGACAAAGTTTAGTGTTTCTATTCTCAGTTCTTTTGCCAAGCTTCTCCAACCACTTCACTGTGACCTTGCAAGCCACCGCTTCCGGCTCGTTCTTTGTGATTTGTGTAGCTTGCATTCACGTCGCTGTTGCCTTTGGTGCTATGTTGGTAAGTCTTAGATGTTGTGCTTCGGCCACAGGCGAAGCCTTCTTTGCTGAAGCAGGCCGCGCAAGTTAAGAGTTTGTTACCTTGCAGGCAAATTGGCTCCAGCATGTTCGGGTGTTATAATGGTAATTAGGTAATTGATACAAAGCTTCCTTTCAATGAAAGTAAGAGAGGGTGCACTTCTCAAACGAAAAGCAGGCTTATTGAACAAGCTCATGTTCAGCTTCCTTCAAGCCTCGGAGACATGAAGCGGACCGATTACTGCACAGGTGATTTACTTTACTGATGCCAGTCGTGAAGCTGGGATTTGCGTTTGTCCGGGACCTATCAAAGGCCCTGGTAGGCCTTTTTGCTAACAAGTAAGAAGGGATGAATGTGTTGGGGCCAGCGGAAGGCATCCGCTTTCTGAGCGATGTTTTTGCGAAAACGCTTCTCAATCAAGTCTCATCAGCCACTCACACAGTGCGGGGAGGATGTCTTGCAGTGTTGCCACTATACACGTGCACATGCATACATACATACATACATACATACATACATACATACATACATACATACATACATACATAATTATAGACACGTCACCACGCACAGAGACAAGTTTAATCAACTAGTCTATATAGGGTGCTACCAGCCCGTGATTGAATCCATTGTTATATAGTTGTAGTATGTAATAGTTGTTGCAGTCATGCTGACCGAGTCCTGTTGAAGTACCAGGGCTGTAGACGGCGCACATCCAACAAACCACTGAACTTTGAGCCCTGAGCCTGATGACCACTGAGGCCGGTTGAATCGTGGTGGGAAGTGGCTGCAGGCACTTGGAAGTGACGAGTTCTTCAACCTGTTGAAACGACAGGCGGCTGAGTTTGGTAAGGCTTAGTGGTCAGTTATTGGATGCTTGGGCTATTTTTTAGCTAGTCGGCCACTGGGATGGCTTTCCAGCCAAACTGCAGGTTTGAGGATGTAAGCTGGGATCAGTGTTTCTACTCATCATTGGGACGAAGCCCTGAGATCTTGCCTTTGACCACGTGCATGTCCTCCCCATGCAGAGGTCGGTTTGAAGGGTGAATGAGGTTCATGTGGGGTAAGCAGAAATGAGAACCCTAAGCCACAAAAAGCTGCCGCGCTGTGAGTGTATGTGGGACAAGGGCCGGTGCCAAACGCATCCACACTAAAGTTAAGAGTTATAGTTAAGAGTTATCATGAGCTATCATAATGTCGTATGCCTTAGGTTAGCTTCACTTAACAGCTATAGATTGGGCTTGTCCCTTTACTTGCAACAGTCGACAAACAATATCACGATTTTGGAACAAGGCCTTTACAAACCATCATCATCCACCGTTGCTGGTAATGGGATATCAATGGGATATACCCAAGTTATACCAAGTTATGACATCATAATGTTATAAACACAAAATAACAACAACTATATAAACTATATTTTGCATTGTGATGTTTAATCTTCACACCGTAGCTTCAGTAAAAGACTACCGAGACTACTCTCCCTTGTGCAGGTGCCAGTGTCTCATAGCTTGGGTGACCCAGATTCACCCTGGAAGGAAGACCGCGCGGGGAATGCGAAGGTTGTGAAGAGGACAATACATCAGAACCGGATGTCAAGGAGGAGAATGGTTGGCATGTCTGAAGAAATTCTCCTCACCGGCGATTTGACCAACATTTAGACCTTATATGACGTTATTCAACGCGTTATTGATGAGTTTTACGGCGGCACCCGTGAAACGGTGCACCTGAGCCCCCCCCAAACTGTGGATTTTGCGGCCAGCGATGAGTGCGCCGTGCCAGTGTGGGGGCGTCGTTCCACCGAGGCTTGCCATGTCGTCCGTCGGTCCCCCGGATGGCCGCAGCGCAGCGGCAAGCAGAGGTGGGCAGTAGAAGAAAGGCAATTGATCACCGTCATTGTTGATTAGATACCCAACAATGCCACCCTCTAGTCAGCTATAGCTCTAGTCAGTTGATTGATTGATTGATTGATTGATTGATTGATAGTCTAGTCACCCTCATTGATACCTTGATAGCTGACTAGACTCAATTTGTTTGGTAAGCGCTTAGCCCAAACAAAACGTCATGCAACATGTTCGGGCGCTTAGCCGGCTTAGCCCAAGAAAGCAGGGTTGTACAATCTTGAAGACGTGAAGATCAAGGAGATCTTTGGCGTATTCTTTTGCGAGGCCAAGGAGGGCCGGATCTTTGCGTTTTCGAGCTCTGGACAGTCTCTTTGGGTTCCACTCTTGGAAAAGGCCAGGTGCGAATGGAAGATGGGGCAAACTTGGGGAAACCTGTAAGTGAACGTTTCGCATGGTGGGCAGCGAACGGTTTGTGCACATGACCTAGTTGTATTTTTTCTCAGAGGTGCCTACTTGCGCTAGCTACAATATTTTAATGTTTTGGAGTGATGGCATGTGAGGTGAGAGTGGAGGGTTGATTCCAACTAGTACTCCAACCAGTATGATGTTTTTTCCATTCTGTTGGCTATCAGGTGCATTCCATGCTACAATGAACAAATGTCCAAAGCGCTGGGTAAACCTCCCATGTGCAAGGCCTGGGCGCGTCTCAACGGATCTTATCAGGCAACGGTTGAGGGGATGAGGAAGATCGGAGGGAGAGAGTTCAACAGCGTGAAATGCAGACCCAACAATGAATGCTTTGTTGAACAAATGTTGCTGGAGTATATTATGAATCCACAAACTTGTAAACATTTGTTACTATAAATTTGAAACACCTTATAACGCACACAAACACGTCTCGTGTTTGGCGTTCTTCTTGCTTGGCGTGCGGGACGGACCGAGCCTTGGTTCGACACCCTGACTGACACCCAACGGCGGTTCCATGGCCAAAGTGGGGGCACCACACCAAGGGTGGGGTCGTATGCTGTTGTATTCACGGATTACTACTACAAAAAAAGTAGTACGAAACTAGTAGGTTGGAGGCCATTACTAGCACGAAGCTTCGGCCTCCTTCAGGCCCCGGCTGCTTCGACCTCGCTCTGCAGCCATTGATCGGTCGAACGGCGCGTGCTTGGACCGAGCCGCCGTGAAGCTCGTCATGGCGGCCGCGAAAGCATTGAGCCTGAGCTGAGTTTCAGGAAAGATCCCAAGGCCCCCAGTGCAACTGCGAAGGATTCAGCTGAACTTGGGAGATCAATTTGTTTAACACACAAGCTATCACTGGCAGTTCAGAAGAGAGACGTGCAGATGTCCAAGTCATGAGTTTCTTGATATTGTTAAGATCCGCTGCTCAGCCACTAAGATCTTGCTGGTCTCCATTGCTTCTACCATGGCAGAGGCAGAAGTCCCACAACGCTACTTGGATCCGATTTTGTTGTTTTTTAGTACGAAGGGCTACGCCTGCTATTCATCCTCGAATAGTTTGTGCATGAGTTGGAGTTGTGTCATTGGAGGACACGAAGGGCCAGTCGACCTTGTTGAAGGACGGCCACTTCTGTACGTTCCCTATCACCAGGGCGCTTCTTGGGAGCATCGAGAAAACGTTCAATCCTATGGCTTTCGGGTCCAATTTCTGAAATCACAGCCGTTCACCTTTGTTGTAGTGAAGTGCCCTAACTTAAGCAAGGCTGGGCTTGGCCAAGCTAGACCCCAGACAAGAATCATTGGTTTTATGTTTATATATATATATAGTTAATTTGTTTAGACATTAGATGGAATCGTTTTTTCCATTGCGTTCGCTGTGCCAGTCCGTGCTTTTTGCTTTGATGCAATGTATGATATGATCATGAGGCGTTTGGCACGATTCACGTGCACAGGATTGTTGCTACTATTGGTCAGAGCAGATCAGATATGATCAATATATATATATATATACATAGTATACATATGTGTGTGTGGTAGATTGACGGTTTTTTTAACCTTCAGGAGAAGCAGTTGCGGCACCCACCGCATGCGGGTCAACGTTGCACCCACGACGTGCTCCCCACGGTGGTTCTTTAAAGCTACGGTTGAGCCAAGCGTGCACCTGGACCGGCCCACGCAGAGGTTGTGGGTTTTTCCCGGTCACTGAACACCAAAAGTGGGTACCGGATGGTCACCGGCAGCGGATGAAAAAGAAACACCCCGAATCCAAGAGGATCCAAAAGAATGGATCTTCATTCTCACGGGTGTTTCACTGTGCAACATGTTGTATTTCAGTTTCGCAAGAATTCTGTGCAACCAAGGAGTTTGAATCTCATCAGGTTCGATGCCCTTGCGGCGTTTAATGCACCTCTGGGCATCATTACGTGGGCTTGAGCAGAGTTTGCAATGGCATGCTGAGCTGCAGGATGTGCTTATAAATTGCAGAGCTAAGCAGAGTGGTTTGATGTGGCTTGCCCTGACAATGCTGGTTACCATACCTGCCCGAGAGAAGTCCAATTACATACATATTAGGATATATAGTGTGTTTTTTTTTTTCCCGAATGCGTAGCGAAGGGTTCCCGTTTATAGTTGGGGGTCTGGGGGTTGGAGCTGGCTTGCGTCGTGTCGTCGTTTGTCGTCGTCTGTCGTCGTCGTCGCGTCTCAAATTTGCTGCCATTGGGGGAAGCTTTTGCAAGTGACTTTGCATGGACGTGTCACGTGTCAGTTTGCGCCGCTATTCCATTGGGATTTGCATGACAAGGACATGTCGCGCAAGAAACGTGATGCATTTCACTGCACAGGCGCAGCGTTTTGTGAGATCTGCAGTTTGCTGCGCAGTTCCATTGGGATTAGCGTTTGGAGAGTCGTGTTTTTGGGGTGTTGGATGTGGCCGTGCCATTGGGATTTGCGTTTCAGGGTGTGGCAGCGAAGCTCGGTTTTCGTGACAAGTCTCAGCTGAAATGGCGATTTTGGTGGATGGCAGTGTGCTCAGAACGGGTCGAAATCATTCCAAACGTGTGGTGTGGTGCAAATTTTGTTGAAGCTTACATGAGATGATATTGTCACTTTTCGTGGCAGGCGCAGGACTTTGTGCGGGTTTTGAGGCGTGGAAGCGCGATTCTCGTGGCAGGCGCAGGGAATCGTGAGGTTGCGAGATGTGACGGAGGTGACATGTCGTGGCAGGCGCAGTACTTTGTGCGCGTTAGACGTGTGGATGGGGAAAGATTCGTGGCGGGCGCAAGGAATCGTGAGGTTGTGAGTTGTGGTAGAGGTGAATGTCGCTGTCCCATTGGGATTGGCGTGTGAGCGGATGTTGTTTGGAGGGGCTGGATCGCGAAACTGCTTGGCAGGGCTGCGTGATGTGTCTGCTCCGATGGGTGTTTCCGCTTGACTTTTGGAGGAAGTCTCGTACGAAACGCTCGTTTTGCAGACTTTGACGTGTGAGTTTTTGAGGAAGTCTCGTACGAAACGCTCGTTTTGGAGACTTGACGCGCAACCCTCTGCGGAGATCGTGCGTGTCGAGCGTGCGAAATGCAGGCGAGAGTGCGATTTGTCCCATGCGCGCGCAACCCTCTGCGGAGATCGTGCGTGTCGAGTGCGCGAAATGCAGGCGAGAGTGCGATTTGTCCGGTGCCCGCGCAACCCTCTGCGGAGACCGTGCGTGTCGAGCGCGCGAAATGCAGGCGAGCACTGGCGACTTTGTAGTACAACTTTAGTACGCGGGGTATCTGGGGAGCTGGAAGATGAGAACTGGTGACTTGGTAGTACAACTTTAGTACGCGGAGCAATCTGTGGAGCTGAAACTTGAGAACTGGCGACTTTGTAGTACAACTTGAGTACGCGGAGCAATCTGTGGAGCTGGAAGCTGAGAACTGGCGACCTTGTAGTACAACTGTAGTACGTGGAGTATCTGGGGAGCTGGAAGCTGAGAACTGGCGACCTTGTAGTACAACTTTAGTACGCGGAGTATCTGGGGAGCTGGAAGAGAGTCCCACAAGAGTGTCCCGGAGTCCCGCAACAGTGTCCCACTAGAGTGTCTCACAAGAGTGTCCTGCAAGTGACCCACAAGAGTGTCCCACAAGAGTGTCCTACAAGAGTGTCCCACAAGAGTGTCCCACAAGAGTGTCCTACAAGACTGTCCCACAAGAGTATCCTACAAGAGTGTCCCACAAGGAGTCCCACAAGAGTGTCCCACAGAGTGTCCCACAAGAGTGTCCCACAAGAGTCTCCTACAAGAGTGACCCACAAGAGTGTCCTACAAGAGTGTCCTATAAGAGTGTCCCACAAGAGTGTCCCACAAGAGTTTCCTACAAGAGTGTCACACAAGAGTGTCCCACAAGAGTGTCCCACAAGAGTGTCCTACAAGAGTGTCCTACAAGAGTGTACCACAAGAGTGTCCCACAAGAGTGTCCCACAAGAGTGTCCTACAAGACTGTCCCACAAGAGTGTTCTACAAGAGTGTCCCACAAGAGTGTGCCACAAGAGTGTCCCACAAGAGTGTCCCGCAACAGTGTCGCTCAAGAGTGTCTCACAAGAGTGTCCCTTAAGAGTGTCCCTTAAGAGTGTCCGACAAGAGTATCCCACAAGAGTGTCCTACAAGAGTGTCCCACAAGAGTGTCCCACAAGAGTGTCCTAGAACAGTGTCCCACAAGAGTTTCCTAAGAGTGTCCCACAAGAGTGTCCTGCAAGTGACCCACAAGAGTGTCCCACAAGAGTGTCCTACAAGAGTGTCCCACAATTGTGCCCTACAAGAGTGTCCCACAAGAGTGTTCCACAAGAGTGTCCTATAAGAGTGCCCCACAAGAGTGTCCTACAAGAGTGTCCCACAGGAGTTTCCTACAAGAGTGACCCACAAGAGTGTCCTACAAGAGTGTCCTACAAGAGTGTCCCAGAAGAGTATCCCACAAGAGTGTCCTACAAGAGTGCCCCACAAGAGTGACCCACAAGAGTGTCCTACAAGAGTGTCCTACAAGAGTGTCCCAGAAGAGCGTCCCACAAGAGTGTCTTACAAGAGTGTCCCACAAGAGTGTCCTACAAGAGTGTCCCACAACAGTGTCCCACTAGAGCGTCTCACAAGAGTGTCCCTTAAGAGTGTTCTACACGAGTATCCCACAAGAGTGTCCTACAAGAGTGTCCCACAAGAGTGTACCACAAGAGTGTCCCACAAGAGTGTCCCACAAGAGTGTCCTACAAGAGTGTCCCACAAGAGTGTCCCACAAGAGTGTCCCACAGAGTGTCCCACAAGAGTGTCCTACAAGAGTGTCCCACAAGAGTTTCCTACAAGAGTGACCCACAAGAGTGTCCTACAAGAGTCCTACAAGAGTGTGCCACAAGAGTGTCCCACAAGAGTGTCCCATAAGAGTGTCCCACAAGAGTGTCCCACAAGAGTGTCCCACAAGAGTTTCCTACAAGAGTGTCCTACAAGAGTGTCCCACAAGAGTGTCCTACAAGAGTGTCGCGCAAGAGTGTCCTGCAAGTGACCCACACAAGTGTTCTACAAGAGTGTCTCACAAGAGTGTCCTACAAGAGTGTCCCACAAGAGTGTCCCACAAGAGTGTCCCACAAGAGTTTCCTAAGAGTGTCCCACAAGAGTGTCCTGCAAGAGTGTCCCACAAGAGTGTCCCACAAGAGTGTCCTATAAGAGTGCCCCTCAAGAGTGTCCGACAGGAGTATCCCACAAGAGTGTCCTACAAGAGTGTCTCACAAGAGTGTCCTAGAAGAGTTTCCCACAAGAGTGTCCTACAAGAGTGTCGTGTAAGAGTGTCCCACAAGAGTGTCCTGCAAGTGACCCACAAGAGTGTTCTACAAGATTTTCTCACAAGAGTGTCCCACAAGAGTGTCCTAGGTCCTACAAGAGTGTCCCACAAGAGTGTCCCACAAGAGTGTCAGAGTGTCCTATAAGAGTGTCCCACAAGAGTTTCCTACAAGAGTGGCCCACAAGAGTGTGCTACAAGAGTGTCCTACAGAGTGTCCCGCAAGAGTGTCCTACAAGAGTGTCCTTTGGACATATTAGTTTTTCGATCGTGCTTGCATTCGGGTTCGTGGGTTCCATCTTGTTGTTTCTTAAATAGGTGTTTGTCTGAATCTTTGATTGACCCACAGTTCTTGATAGTTTGTACATAGTTCTCTGATTTTAGGTGAACTCATGATTTGTTGTCATAGAGATGTATAAAGAATTGGCGGCCTTATGGTTTCTCCTTCCCTTCACTGTACTGCAAGCTTCCAAGCCTCCACACTAAGGCTTTTGGCAGTGACACTCTCTAGGCCTGTGCTCTGAAACGATTCTATCAGGCGTTTATTTTCCGTCACAGGTAAAACGCTACCGTGGCTGGTGTTTATATTTCTCATGCATCGCTTGACACTGGGCACACTGGAAGGTCGCTGTGATTCGAAGTTAGGTCGCTTATTGGTCGTGATATTGTTCGTGTCATCACGAGAAATAGACGATGACCTTGAGACTTTGTAATTGAGCGCCAGTGCCATGCCCAGCCTGGTCAGCGCCTCGCTGTTTAGGTGAGCGCCAACCAGTCGTTTAAATGTACAGAAGCACAGCCGGGAAAGAGACACAGAAGAATGCTTCTTTCAGGTTGTCTATGTTGCGGCAAATCTGAAGGCCAATGCTGGTGTATTTGCATGAGTTTTGTGCTGTTTCGTGAGTGTTTGGTTCTTCGGAGTTTCTATCTCAACCAATTTGGTGTGGTAAGGCTCCTTCAGCAATTCAAGATGCAATGTGTAGATGCATAAATAGAGCTTTGAGATCTTGCCTCTACGACAGCCTTGCAATGGCATCAATGGTGCTTCGAGCTCCTCACGGGTTCCAGAGGGCAGCTCCAAAAAGGTGGACGTGGCGCAGGTTTTCTGGCGAAAGCAAGGGCGGCTCATAGGCGACCTGTTTGTTGCTCCACTACGAGTGGCGTGCAGGCTTAAGTTGTATCAAGTTCAGGCCTGCACGCAGTTTGGGATGCTTCTTGACTCGGTGTTGGATTTTGTTTTGCCATAGAAGCTGCAGGCGGCCGAGCGTGGAGATGGGGCTGAAGCCTGGTGCCCAGCACGAAACTGGGCAAGTTCTGTAGAGTGTTCTATAGATATATATATATATATATATGAGATGTTGCGTCTTGCGACATCTCGCAGGTTTTTCGGAGACCTTCGCTTTGGATGTATATGGGGCAGCCCGTGTTCATCTATATATGCAGCCAGCAACAGTATGAACCGGATTTCTGGCACTTATTGAAATCAGCAAGTTGCTTCGATGAGCCCAAAAGTTATTCCCTTTAGGCCTTTATCCAGTAGAAAAAGAGCCAACTTGGATCCTATAACCAGGCACCAATTTTTGTGCCTTCAGGTGTCTTCTTGCAGTTTTTCAGGGGGATCTCTTCATTTCTTCCACGGCACTTTCTGAGGCCTTAGCGGCCCTCACTGGGGCCCCTGCCCGGCACTACAGCTTGCGGTACCACGCTCATGGTGAGGAAGGCTGGTGGCCAACTTTCTCCTCCATCCTCTCGTGCCCCAGGACCAAAGCAACAGCACTCTCAAAGAGCATGTTGAATCAATGTCGAACAAGTTCGAACAAGTTGTTTTCTGGCAAGCTTCGCATTTTCAGATTATTGCTTTTGGCAAGGAGGGACGGACTGTCCTTTTGACTAGTTGTTTTTTCATTTGTTCTGCCGCCTTCATACCGTTCGCTGCGTTCGCTGCGCTTTTTTGGACCACTTCGGGCTCGTGAGGTACCCGAAGAGTTGGAGCTTGACAGGCGATGGAAGATGGGGCTGGACGTACCAAACTCGCTTGGTCTCCACCGTGGGCGAAGGTGTCAGGTGGGCGAAAGATAACTCTGGAAACTTGGCCCTTCACAGCTACACACCTTCTCTTGGTGCTCGAGAAATGTCAAAAGACTAAGACTAACGACTAACATTGTCATGATTCTCATATATTCTCATTCAGAAACCTTGGCTACCCTTGGTTTCAGCAAGATCAGGGTCCAAACTAGGGCTTCACATGTTTGAACTCAGAGTGAGAGAGTTGGAGAACAAAGTTGGCTGACTCAGGCAGCATGACAGACTTCTTCTGGGGTCGAGGCGCAGCCGCTTCCTACACGTTTCCACCTGAACAGCTTTCACAAATCAGAGCTTAGCTTGTCCGCACCGAGAAGAAAAGTAAAGCTGTTGTAGATTGCAGGTTCTGCCCGTCCTTTGCTGGGCAGCGCATGTTCTTGCCACAGAAACAGTTGCCCCAAATGTGCCTCTTCATGATTTGCCACATGCATAATATGTTTGTAGGCGCATGATGTTGCATGACCTTTTGTCGTGTACGCCTGCTGCTCAAGTTGCAAGCTTTAGATTGCAACCTGGGCCCAGTATCATTTAGGGCCGGAAATGTGCTTTCGCGCAGAAATGAGGGTTCAAGACCAAAAGTTGTTTGCCTGGCCTGGCATGTTAATTCAAAGATATGCCATGTGAGTCTACGAGTGCATCGGAGAGTTGCTCCAGCAGATCAGCTGAGATCCAGTGATTTTGCATGCTTGAAGTCACCCCAACAGATCCGCACTCAAAAGCGACCCCAAGAGCCTCACCCTGAAGAACCAAGTAAAATTCACTTCAACAGTCACGTCACAGTCGCCACTTGCCCGCATACTTTTCTGCCATTGGGCATATGCCATGTCGCAGTGGTTCCAGCGACATGCGCTGGGACCGATGTGGTGTTGCATCCTGGGGCTGATCGCCGTTCACACTCCTCAGGCCCCATGTTCATTGTAAGAGTGCAGCACCCCACCAAGGTGATCCAAGGTGTGTCGAGTGGTGTGTCGTTGTTTGTTTGGAAGCATGCTGCGACGGAAATGGCTGGTGGAAAGGGGTCCAACACGTGGTGCCTTCCTTCACCAGGCCTTGGTGCACTGGATGGGTGCCGAAAGGACTTGATGACATTGAAACAATTGTCTACACAACACATCGTGTGGAGCAATTGAGCTGGTGGACTGTTTGTGCGCCAGAATGTTGCAACTGACTTACATTGACCAAAGAATTCGATACACCCAGCCCACACGAGAAAGCACTGGAGACAAAACCATTACCACTGTGGTGTTTTGTGTTCCTTTTCTGGGGTTCGTGGGAGCAGAAGTCCCCTTAAAACTGGTGTGCAGGCATTGGACTTGCAAAGCTGCGATCAGCGCTGGCGCCGAGAGGAGGTGCCTTGGGCTGGTGAAAACGGAAAGCGGATATGCCAGCGTGCTTGGTTTTTGACCACCAGGGTGCTCGTGCAGTGGGCTACAGTGGTCTAGCATGTTTTTCGCCGTTCCAAGTGTTTGGGCCCAGACAAAGACAGCAAAAACATTGGAAACGAGCGTGCTACCAGAGGGAGCACTTGTGGAGCTTCAAGAAGGGGGGAAGACCTTGATGATTGTCTATCTTTGAACAACTTGACCGCCAAGCCATCCACTAATGACCTTGCTCGATCTCACTTAAGCACGTGGCATATTTGATCATATTTTGGGGTTCACTTAAAGCAGCACTTGGTCTCACAAATCCAAGACCAATTGTCCTTGGACTGGCAAGCTGGGTGGGGAAAACGAAGGGGGAAAAAGTTATGACCCACTGGCACGCAGTCTTGATCAGCTCGCTAGGCCTTGTCACAGCTCTATTTGCGACTGTCGCAATGGGATCGAGAAGGCGCAGTGGCACCCAGCTAGCACACTGAAGCAAAAAGACAGCCAGGCACTAGGCCTCAGGCCCGCTCTGGTTGTCGTACTAAATGTTATTTGCTTTGTTTGATCAATGGTGCGATGATGCATGTTTTCAGGTAAAGAAATTGAAATGCATCCTTTGCGAGAGAGATTTGCTTCTTTAGACTGCAAGTGGTGGTTAGCACCAACGTTCCCCATCTGCCAACTTGGTGCATTGCAAGCTGACAAGTTGATATGTGTCTTTGATAGCTCCTGTCCTGTGTTACAACCTGCCCTGAGTGCCCTGGGCATGCACTGGAAACCTCCATGAGTCATGAGTGCGCAAGGACTGTCACCCCAGTCGCCGCGCACGAGTCGAGCGCACGCAGGAGTGGAGCAGACCCACCACTTTTACGATATGTGAGCGCCTCAGATCGTGGCACCAAACAACGTCGTGGCAGGAAGTTCACCTGTTCCTAATAGCGATGCCCTTGTTCCTAGCAGCGATGCCCTTGCGACTAGTAGCGATGCCAGGAGCCCCTAGTAGCGTCCTTGTTCCTAGTAGCGATGCACCATGATGCACCTGTTCCAAGACGTCTCACAGTGAACCAAGGTCCACCACCTTTATGCTTCTTGCCCGGGGCGCCTCATTTGCGCGGCAGCCAACGCGAGAGGAGGAGGTAGCATGAAACTTTCAGTTCCGGGCTGTTTGAAATAGATGTTTGAAGGTGTTTCCCCAAGGTTGGCTTTACCTTTTCTCAGCTCACATCCATTGTGTCCGCTTCTGTCCCTTGAATTGGCCCTTGGGTTCCGTGGTCTCACCACGGCACCTCTGTCCGGGGCTCACCGGACCGTCGTCCCAGGTACCAGCCGAGCGGTCGAGTGGTCATGTCATGCCTCCAAGTCAACCACCATGCTTGTGGCCACACAGCATCTAGCCCACCATTTTACCTGAGATGAAGCTGATAAGAACCCAGAGACTTGCCAGCAGCGCAACGCGAAAACGCGGAGGCTGAGATGGAACCAACCATCAAGAGCCGTTTGCTGAATGCCTTTGCGCGATTAGGCCAGGGCATGTATGAAAGCCAGGAATGAAGGACTTGACTTCTTTTCGGCGTGTGTTCTCACTCAGGTAGACCAATATACCGACCCCTGTCTAAGGTGTACGTCATCAGACAGCCATATTGAAAGTACTGGAGTTCAAGCACCGGAGTTTGTCATAGCTATCGCATGCTATCGCTCAGTGTTGTTTGTTTTTTTTCATAGACTCGGGGGTAGATGTTGACTAGGAATTCTTAGTTCACCTTCCTATATAACTAGCCCAGGAGCACCTCTCCCCAGAAAAGAAGAACAAATTTGATGCCCACATCCAAGATCTCAGGCAAACCATTCAAACATCCCGCTGCAACACCGAAAGAAGATTCTTGGATGTATCGGGATGTTGCTAGTGGTTTGGTTGCTCGAAACCGTCCCTGAAACAATGGGGCCAGCCCTGCTGGGTCTTCGCCCAGAATGGGCGAGGTGGCTTTCCAGAGCGCTGTGGGATTTGCGTGGCCGCCCTGGACACCTGGAGCGTTGGCATTCAGAGCCACTTTCCGCCAGGCACGATCTGGGCAGTTCATGTGGCCCGAAGTCCAGGTCGAGAAACCTTTTCAACGCTGAGATACTCCATCATCCAGGCAACCTCATTTGGACGAGTGAGAGTGGAGAAACTCCATCATGAGAGGGGAGTGACTTTTGGGCCAATGAAGATGTGGGCGACTTTGGACATCGCTCAGTTCCCGACCATCGCTCCGCAGCCAAGGCAGCTTTGGACATCGCTCAGCAGGAGATCCTTTGGTGGCGAAGCATGTTGTGGAGCAGCTGCCTCCAGGGAAGTATTGTCATGCCACTTGGATTTGGTCATCGCTACACTTCCGGAAAAAAAAAGAAAACACACACACACATGGACCCGGGTCGAATGGCACCGAAGACGGTTGTCCTGGTTGAAACCGCTTCACCACGGGTCCACCACGGGATCACCACACGGGACATCCACGCGGGATCCCACCGCTCGGGACCTCGGAACCGTGAGTGTCACGCAGCGGGTGGAACGACCCGGTTTCATCCGGTGAACGCGCGAGCGATGTTGAGCACTTGGCTCTTGCATGTCATTAGCTCGTTCGGAAACTCATGGACATCCAGCAAGTGAATAGCAAGTGCATCTCTTCGGTCGATACAACTTATGTTAACATGCTGGTAGCTTTGAGAGGGAAGAGAACAGTCTTCTTTGAGGCATTGGCTTTGGAGAGGGAGCACTGGGAAAATCTCTACGTGTCCCCTTTGGAGATTCACGAGCACTTGGCGCGTGACGTGCTTTACGGCAAGCGTGCAGCTTGCCCCAAATCAAGAGACGTTCCAAAATTGAGAAGGTGCCTGCCAAAGAACCTACAAACGTGTATACCACAATGCATGTCAGTTCCTGAATCTTTTGAATCTTGAAACCGGCTGACAGTCAGACACAATGTCACGGCGAATCTTGCACCAGTTTCCAAACCCAAAAAAATGACGCCATGAAGCCGCTCCAAAAGCTCCTGGTTTGCAGAGGTCCTCCTCCTCCATGGCAGCCTCACCCAGCCCTCGAAGCTCCCTGCCTTTCGCTTTGCCCAATCAGTGGCCATGGCTGGGGTGCCTGGGCGGCCGAAGCATCAGCTGTACATGGGACGGGCGAGGAGTTTTCACCGGTTCGAAGGGAAGAGGGCCGAAGCATGGATCATGGATGAAGAGAGTAGGATCATGGTTCAGGTGTTTTTCCTTCAAGGTAAGCGTTCTCGTTCTGGTGATGGATGCGCGTTTTGGGTGGTTCTTGCGGGGTGCAAGATTGGTTTCTTTTTGAAAGGTCATCATCGCTACACCAGGCTGTTGCACTGTATATAGCTGTCGGTCTTGGCCTTGGCAACACGGGTAAGCTTCCCGACTCATTACGGTACTCACCAGATTAGTTCTGTGAAACTCGGCCTGCAACTGCCCCAATGGCCCTTGTTCAAAAGAGCCTTTCCCCTCAAAACCCAGTGTCTAAAAGGAAGGTGCAAGGATATTCAAACATACCACTGTTGTGTGAAAACGAGTATGCATCATATGTGCTTCACATATGTTATATATATACATACATATATACACTGTGTTTGGACATATTAGATATTAGATAGATAGATAGATAGATAGACTAGATAGACTAGATAGATAGATAGACTAGATAGACTAGATAGACTAGATAGACTAGATAGACTAGATACATTCGACACAGGCTTCGACATCATCATACATCGTTCTTAGGTTGGAGGCCATCGCTCCATGTATTTGAGGTGGACCTCCCTGCAGCCGTGCGAGTTGATGAGCTCTTGGCCGACCTGGCCGGCCTGCCGCTGGGCGCAGGGAGACCTCCCAGTTCTTTCCATTGGAAAAAGGAACAATAGACCAAAACCATCCAAAACCCTTAGGGCCAGGGCCAGGGTGTCTCATGTTCAAAAACATGCAACCACTTCCAATGTATTAGGCCGGTCAATATGACCTATCGGGCAAAACAGCATGTCCCCCAATCCCGTTCTTGTTTTTCTTGGGCTAAGTTAAGTGCCCCCACCTTCCCACCAGTCCAGTGCCTCGCGTTAGGCTCTCGCAGGTGGAGCTGGTCCTGCTGTCACTGCCACCCGGTGTGGGAGCCCTGGTGGCGATGGAGGTGACCTGCCGCTTCGGTGTCCAGGTGAGAATGCCTCGAATTGATGGGAGTTGGGGTCGGATTGGGCGTGGATTTGGGATCATTTGGGTGGGATCATGCGTGGTCCCACCAATTTCACAGATAGACGCACATTAAGTGGTACTAGGTATAGTTCAGAGTCTTGGACTTTCTCAGAACGTGGGGATGAAGGCCATCATCCGAACCGACACTCCGTGTTCCACGACACTCGGCCCCTACTATGCTTGTGCCACTTGCCGAAGGCATTGGATGTTGGGCGCCTGGCGCTCACATCGCTGCCCGGCCCCAGAGCGCCAGCGCCTTTGACGTCGCGAGCCCCGGGCGGGGAGGAGTTCCCCGCACGCGCGGAGGTCAGCGCGAGCGTGCCAACCGGCGCGAAGCGGCGGATGGAGTTGAATGGCAGCTGGGTTTTCAGCAGTTGGAGGCTTGAAGAGGTCCATAGGGATCCATCGAGGGCGAGTCTATGTCCAGAGTTTATTGGTTTGAGATGCTCTTGAGATTCTGGTGCGTTTGCGGCAAGATGTGGCCGCCAATGGGCTTGGTGCAGTGAGATGCGACTGCAATGGCCTGAAAAACCAAGAGGGATTGACGGCTTTCTTTGACAACTGAGGTATTTGGCAGGTCCAAGTGACCTCAGACACAGTAACTTGGGCTGAACGGTTTCAGGAGGTGCTGCAGTGCAGTCTTTAACTGTAGAAGTGGCATTTATGTGCATTCGAGAATGAGGGTCTTGAAGGTTGTTTGGATTTCCAGACATTGTTGAAACAATGATATGAACATCCAAAGACATGTGGGGCCATATGGCCTAATTCTTCTTCAACAGTTGCTTAGAATCACATTTTTCCGGATATCCAGAGATGAGGTGAGCCTGCAGGAGCTCTCAGAGGACTGGCAAAGCATCGAGGTGCCGTTTGCACCCCAGTCCTATCGAGGCAGGACACCATGAGACCATATGAGACCTTGGACGTCTAGGATCGTCTTGGGAACAGTGTGAAGTAATTAGTTATAAAGTTATACGTTTTGAACATCAATCAGATTCTGAATTGACGTTGATGGATTTTTTATTCCAACGAGTTTGCTACTTTGTTTAAGTCATGCCGCCCGCAGAAAGAGTAAAGCCGTAAACATGTGGACGTGCTAAAGGCTCCACGCAAACTGACTGCAGGTGTTGCTTTTGTCAACTGGATGCACACATGGCCAAACGCCAAACAATGGCCAAAACAAGCTCCAACATGGGTTTCAGATGGTTTCAGCAGTCAATCCCCCAGTTGGACGACTCTGATGCAGATCCTAGACATCCCCAAAGATTCTGGCGCAAAAGCCTGAGAATGGTGGATGTCAGGGCTTGCAACGAAGATTGCGGCTGTGGAGGCTGTGTGGTACCGCCGCTTGGGTTGCGTTTTCTTCCACGGCACACTTTCATGCGGAGAATGGGTCGGACGCACACGATGCGGCCATCAACGACACCTTTTTGTCGACTTTGGTACAGTACCTAGACAAGTAGAGCCGAATTTGGTGCTAGGACGAGAACTTTATTTGGATGAGAGTTGGTGCAAAGCTGGAGTGCTGCAACTATATGTGGATGCTTGTGACTGGGAATGCGTGCCTTGGCTCAAGTGAAAGAGCGTGCCTTTGGACCGGGTGTTCGTGGCAGAAATGACTGTTACACAGTTATGCACCATGGCATCGCCCGAAAACAGCCACGCGTTGGACCACTCCACGTGACGTGTGCCATCCAATCCGCCTGCCAGACGTAACGGAGAAAGAGGGGGCAGGGAGAGAGAAGGTGAGACGTGGAAGAGGCCGACTTCCCAGACTTCCCCCGCACGTGAGGGCGTGAGCTGTGACTATTTCCTGATCTTTTTCTCCGGCCAGGCCTTCTACCTGAATTCCATTCCCCTGGGCGTGCACCGTGGTGGCTATGACCCCTTCAATCTATCTTTGCCAGAGATCTGTGAAACTCGCCTTTGGCTCACCATCCGCGCGTGGGATCCCACGGACGAGGGCTGTGCCTTCACGGACACTCCGCCCATCCCCTGTGCCTGGGCGCGGATCGGTGCGGATGGAGGAGGGGGGGCCTGTGTGTCGTTGCTGGCCAGTTGGAACTCAAAAAAGGTAGATTTCATCTAACTATGGTAGAGGGTTGCTATCTACTAAGTAAATCTTTGGGCCCCATTGCAGAAGACGTCCAATTATCGGCGATACATCCGATATATAGAATTGCTTTACTTCACGCACTGTAAGTCCATCAATTCCACCAACCTGGGGCTTTCCAAATCAATGATTGCATCTTCAACATGAACAATGGTTACGCACGCTTTATATAAGGGGCCTTTGCATCTTGCCAGGAACTGACATTTCTTCTTGACGCAGTTCAGGTCACAGATGTTGTGAAACTGGATGGCAGCCGCGCGGAAAACAATCCCTCAAGCCTTCGTCCATCATGCCACTTGAGCTGTGGATAGAGGCCAGAGCTGATGCTGATGCTGCTTCATTTGGATGAACAACACAGAACCAAAAACTTTTGAATTCAACCCCGGCTGTGCAGAGATGCAGAGATATTTCCACAGGAAGTGGCAAAGGCCACCCAGAAAGTGGCACTGTAGGTACCTCACCGGAGGAGAAGTGTTATCTTTGCTCCGTAGGTACCTCTTGCCGTGTTTTTCTCTTCATCTGAGGTACACAGCGGTCACAGGACTTTGGCGGCAAGGGACGCTCGTTTGCATGCTGAAAAATGAGTGGCAATGGTCCGAACATGACTGCAGTGCTGTTAGTCGACAACACAAGGTTGTGGATTGAAGAACTTCCTTCATGCTACATCCATGACCTGGACGTCTCGGCCTTTTGCATGAGGAAAGGACCGGCCGTTCAGCAGGGGGGGTGGACTGAAGTGCCCAGAATGCTCGGCTGAACTGTTTTTGTGCAGCCCAAAACAGGCCCCCAAGCGCAATTTAAGAAGCTCCAGGTGGGAACATCCCGTCCTTGCCTGCAAGAAGTTGACACCAGTAGGAAGCAGGTGAAATTGCTGGGATGATCTAGGGATCAACGTGAGATAACTTGAGGATGATTGAAACGCCCAACATGATGGACGAGGAGTGATCCAGAACACCTGCCTCCACAGGAGACAACCGCCCTTCAGGGCAAAAGAACATCACCAAGCCCTTGTAGATCTGAGAAGGCATTCACATGCATCCACTGTGTAACTAATATCCACATAAAACAATTTAACGACCACTGTGGAGCTGTTCTGGCGTATCTCATTTGCGTCAGTTCGTGAGGTTCTGACAGAGAAGGAGCTGAAGGCGAGGAACGAGTGCAGGCCGATCGATCGGCCACAGAGGAAGAGTAGGATAGGAGGAGAGGCCTAGGCGAATGGGAGATGGGCCATCTACTGAAAGTGTGCTGGAGACAATCAGTTGGAGGAAGAACGTGGTGCTTCATGTCGTACAGGGGGAGGGAGTCTTTAGATAATGCCCCAACATGAGCTTCGAAGTGAGTGCAGGATGACATCGATCCATTTTGTGTATTCTTTGTGCTTTGGCAGAAGTGCAGATTAAACAGTTTAAACACTATGTTGGTCTCCACTCCACATTACGAAGACCACTAGGAGAAGGGAAGATATATTGAAACACTTGAAACTTGAAAGCCAATAGAATTGTTTAAACATACTGTATATCTGGTAAAATTATGCATAACACCCGAGAACATGAAAACACGAAAGCACCTGTGAAACATCTCAAGAGGCCAGGGAGATTCACCTCGCTGGTCCTTCCAACGGCTTTCCACCTCCAACGAGGTCCAAGTGGTCGCAAACTGTGCCGAGCCGATCTCCATCGAGGCATCCTCGGGGCGTGACGGCCGTCCCTATCGGGACGGTGAAAAAAAGTTGAAAAAGAATCAGACAGAATTCAGAGGACTGAATGTGAAAACATGTGAACACACAAAACATGTGTTTTTCAAACATCGTATGTTCATCATGTTCCATACGGTCCGCTTGCGCAGCGCAGCTTGCTATCAAGGTCTATCGGGAAGCCCAAGCCACAGAGCTCATAGCGCATGCTGCTGGGCCTTGCTGCGAGATGCACTAACCTCAACATCAGTTTGGAAGTGAGGTTACTATCGCTGAAACTTGTTTGCACGCACCTGTTGAGCTGACAGGCACTACCATGAAAAAGCATCATTGCCAAACATCCGGGCTACGGAAAGAAATGATTGTGAGCCTCCGTCATTCTCCTGCAACCTTGTTGGATCAAGCGCACCTGGCCAAGAGGACAATTTTGGTCAAGCCACCATGTCAATCTCGCCCCCTCACTTCGACCACGACCGTGATGATGAGGCCAGAGGGGATGGGTTGGGCGCTAGTATCTTGGGTGAAAAGAGGAGGGCGTTAGTCACTGATGGGCTTTCACACAGCCAAGACTTCTGGCGGCAAAGCCCCGTCCGGTCGGCTGAGTCTGTGATGCTTAGTCTAAGGTCCTTCTTTGAACCACTAGACTCACTGGACGAACGAGGGCTCCGTTTATGGCTTAGACAGATCATCGCAGATTTTCCATGTGTCCCAAATGATTCCCACCAACGCTGCGGCCCGACATCGAGCGTCAGGTGCATATCAACATGCCTGGAGAGGCTGTGACGGGATCGTTCGGAGAGATCGCACGGCCCTTAGGTGAGTGCGAGGGGTGCCCCACCTCTCGCTGGAGATAGATGGAGCGGTGTTTTTTGGGGGGAAGATTCCCAAAAGGGCGATACACAGGAGGCTCGGCTCCAGCTAAATTTCCTACTATGGATTGTGTGCCTGAGACAATGCACAACAAGGGTGTTTAGACCTTTGCATTGCTAGCATGTGCACCTCTATCTTTGGGCCTTGGCGATGTGGGTGATCCTCTCAATTTTGGATTGGGTCATATTCCAAGAGAGCAGGTGATCATTGATTTGCTTCCTTACTACCCCTTTCCACCAAGCGCGCTGCTCTTATGCACATTCTTGTGCAAGTTGTGCAAGGAGACATTGCAGATTGCACGGCGGAGCTGGATCCGCTTCGGGCATCTTGGCGGAGTGGAAGTTGTTGAAGGGTGAGTCTTCTTCATGTTGTTCGATTTGTTTAGATCGGGAGGAACCATGGAGAACCCGAGAATCGGAGAAACAGACAGCTGTTTCTTTGGCTTCGATCTCGTTGGGGGTTGCCCCCTCGAAAGATCGACATGTTTTTCAGCGGATTTGCTATGAATGGGAGCTATGGTTGGCGGGGCTTTGTGGCAAACTAGTAAATACATCCACTCCCTAGACCAAGATGGGAACTGGTTAAACAAGCCGGCTCTTGGACAAAGACCAACCTCGGCAACCAATATTATACCTATAGATCTTCCAACAATGCAAAATGTTTGCCGTTGGGTTTGGGTTTGGGTTTGTAAATGTAAAGGCGTAAATGTTGCATAGTTGGAAGATCTACTTATAGCTACTTTATTGAGCTTTGTATAGCCTTTTACTTCCAGCAGTCTATGAGTAGCTCTAGATGACAGTCAAGTCTCGGCAGTCAATCTGCTTGATCCTCGACTTGAGGATCGCTTTTGCATGCTTCACCACACTCTTCAGCCTAGTGGTGGCCACCTCCATGAACAGCTCGGAAGCGACCGAAGGCCACCCGGATGAAGACCATGGCGCCAAACCAATCGTGGCCGGGGGGTCAAGGACCTTTTAAACACCTCGTCCTCAGACCTCACTTTGATTCTCGGCACTTGGATCGTTTTGGGTCAATCATGGTCAGAATCGTGAAGACACCGGCAGAAACGCCAAGTCAAAAGAAACAGAGTCCCTCAGAGATAGCGCGCCTTGGCGCAGGTGCTTTCGAAGATGCCGGTTTGGCGAAGAGCACCGCCTTCCGCTTGACCGAGAAGCGCCGCTTAAGTCCAGCAGCCAACCCCTTTGAGGGAAAGCCATTCTATGTGAACCCCAGCTACAGGACTCTTGGGGCTGAAAAGATGTGAACCGAATTCAGCCGTCCCTCGCCTGGTTTGGGGGAAAAACCTGCCTGGCTGAGCCAGAAAGACCTCAGTTAAGACATCATGTTTGAAAAGAACAAGACGTTTGATAGCATGTTTAGTGTTGTGGCATCGCCAAGTGACATGTAAGAGGACATCACTCCAGAGCAGCATCAATACAGCGACCGGCACCGTGAAGACTACTCTGGAGTCAATGATGAATGTACCGTCCGCCTATTGGTTGGACAAGAAGGACAAAATCTTCGGTAGCACAACCAGTTCCATGGAGGGCATTTTGGAAGATGCTTTGAACAAGCCAGTCCCAGAGCTGGTAGTGTTCATCGTGTATGACTTGCCAAACCGTGATTGCCATGCAAAAGCTTCGAATGGAGAGATTTGCTGCAAATACAAGCCTGACGGCAGATGTGACTACCAAGATGAGGCTGATGGCTGCAAAGATGGCTTGAAAGAGTACCAGAAAGAGTACATCGACCCGATCGCAAAGGTTTTGAAGAAGTACTCTGGCCGTGTTCCAGTCGTGCTTGTTATTGAGCCGGACTCGTTGCCAAACCTGGTGACCAATGAGGCTGACCCAAGGTGTGGCAATAGAGGCACCAAGAATGCCTATGAGAATGGCGTTAGCTATGCAGTGAAGACATTAGCCAAGGCAGATCCATATGCAGGTATCTACATCGACGCCGGTCACGGTGGTTGGCTGGGTTGGAAAGACAACATGAAGGACTTTGTGAACCAAATCCAGCGCATGGACGTGGCCAAGGATATCCGTGGGTTCGCATCAAATGTTGCTGGCTACCAGTACTTGGGGGAGGCTTGTGATACTTATGATTACTGCCTCGGTGGTCAGCACAATGGTGACTCTTGCTGCTATGACCCATGTGGACTTGTCAGCGAGTGGAACCCCTCTCACAACGAGCTCATGTATGCCCTCCATTTGCGAGAAGCCATGTCCAATGGCATCGGAGGCTTTGAGCCTCACATGATCATCGACACGGGCCGCAACGGTGTGGCAGACATGAGGACACCACTGTGCCGTCAAACTGCAAGAGAGTGCTGTTAGCAATTTGTTTGAAAGCATGATGTTCATGTTTGGCCTATTGAAAGGGAAACTGAAGCACGAAATGGCTTGCAAAATTGAACCGCTTTCAAAAAGGACCCGCTAACATTACTCTATTTCATAGCAGTCACCGCATTTCATAGCATTGTCAAGCATTGTCTCTTTTCTGCCGGTGCGAGGAATCAGTGCAAGAATTGGTGCAACATCCGCGGGGCAGGTGTCGGGCACGTAGCCACCACTGCCACTGCCAAGCCAGATGTTGTAGATGCTTACTTCTGGTTGAAAACTCCAGGCGAATCAGACGGTTGCACACAAATCTTGCCAGATGGAGGCTCCTGTCCACGTTTCGATTCAGATTGTGCTTCTGAGGACAGCATTGGCTCCCGTTCTGGTGAGCCAAGAGCCCCAGAGGCAGGCCAATGGTTTGACTACCAAATCAAGCAGCTGGCCTTGAATGCAAAGCTGGAATAAGCAGCTTTTCAAGGACCTACTGTACATCTTTTGGTTTGGATTTATCCTAGTTGGCTTTCCTGGGCTGTAAAGCGTGACCGTGACGGAATTCTACCCAGGAGCCTACAGTACAGATTGCGTGGCTTATGTTTTCAAGGGTTAGGCATCCTGCCTGGAGGCTACAATAAGTTTCCGTGAGGATGCGAGGGTAGCAGTGGTAAGAGCTTACCAGAAATATCCGAGTCTTTTGAGACGCAATATTTCCCAATGGTTTCAGAGGCGATCAGTCACACTTATATATATATATATTCGTCATGAGGAAGAATGTGCATATCAACAAGAGGGTAGCTGTTTGGCGGAACTTGTAGAATCTTGTAGATCCCTCGTCCACATTGCCTTAGCGGGCTTTTGTTCAAGCCCGTCAGTGTTGCTTGCGCAGTGCAGATGCGAAAGGTTACTGTATATACTATTATATGCACCCGTGTTAGAGGTTGTGCGTACTTCACTTTGCATCACTCTCCTGTTTTAATTGAAGACACATGGGATGACTGTGCCTGGCCAGATGCCCCGGTGCTCACCACTCTGCCCCAGATCCGCTGAATTCACTGTTAGCTTTGTGCATGGCACCGGTGCCGAGCCACTGCAGTTGTTTTGATCCGTCGCCTCGTTCATGCCATTTCATGCCTGTTGTGCACAGAAAGCGTTACGAAGGAGGGCCGAGCATCCAAAAAGCAATCCATGATATATATATATATATATATGCTTTTTGCTGCAGTGTGTGGCCTCGCGTCAGTGCAAACGCACGCTTGCTGGCCTGCGAACGCACCAGACGACCGCTCGGAGGTGCAACGAACAGTCAATGACCCAAGCGTCGGGCTCATGTCTGCAGCTGATGCTGGAGCAAAAGCGGCCAATGCTTCCAAGCCACCCCGGAGATGGAACTGCCACCACGTGTTGTTTTTTTTTTCAATTTTTTGTGGCAGACATTGCATGAGAATGCATGAAGGTGCATGAAGCGAACATGGGCGTCCAAGACAGCACGTGTTGTCATTGAATCAGCTGAACTTTTTTGCTGGTTGACCCTCTTGAGAGATTTCGATGGATTTCGGGTGGATTTGGATGGACGACTTTCGCCCACGACTTTCGGTCGGCCGGGGCATGATCGTCGGATGCTTGGAGTCAGACGAACTCGGTATATTGCGTCAGACGACGTAGAGTACTCTGGCGTCACCGTCGCCACCGAAAAGTGGCCAAAAAGTGCCACTGGGCATGCACGAGGAGGGCTAAGGGTGCAACCACTGAAAAGTCACCGAACAAAAACATTCGCAAATGCTGATGTGACCTTTAACTTGCAAGTGATCACAAGTGATCCTTATTGACAATGTAGTGATTGTGATTGTGCTATAGTCTCGATGTTATCCATATATCAAATTCACTGTGGATTCATCCTTTGAGCCTGAAACCTGAGCTACGCTTTTCGGCTCCATCAAGACGAACCTGCTGAAGAAAAGACGAGTCCGTCAACGCGACCGTGGTCCGGTACGGAACACGCGACCCATCTCGACTTGAGGAACTGCTGGAGCAAGGGACATTGATTCGAACCAACGATTTCTGTTAAACAACACGTTTGAATTGGATGCTGCAGGGTTGTCACTTTGTGCGCTTAAAGACCCAATCCTGCGTGATTCTTGATGACGTGCCTATATTATGGAAGAGAACCGGGTGTTCCACCCGGGAGAAGCAAAAACCAATCGGCTGAGGCATTTGCACCTGGACCAGGCCCTGGATGCATGGTCACCGGAGGCAGGATGGGCTTTATTAGGTCCAACATGGCAGCAACGACGGTTGGTTTGGACGTCCTGGTTTAATCCGCCTAGCTCATTTTGCTAGCCAGTCCGCCTCAGAGTTGGAGGATTTTGTTTGTCAACAGTCATCAACAGTCAAGGTTGTCTGCCCTTTTTCCTGTTGATTCGCGAGACTTGGCCTTTTTGCATGTACCAGTGGAACGCTCCATAACTCGCGATGTTTGAGACTCAGTCATGCAAACCTTGAAAACCCAGCCTGACCCAGTGAACAATCCCATTTTGGGTGCTTAGAAGGTGCTTTTCTTCTTGCCCCCTCTCCGATCCACAAGCTCCTCCGCTCCGCTCCTTCGCCCACGCCCAGTCGCCGCGGCTCTACGAGCTGCGCGCCTCGCTGGGAGCGTCGGCGTTGCTCGGCGCGCGCGGGGCGCGGAGTCGGCGCTTCGCGCGGCGGAGCCTGGAGATCCGCGAGGAGCGCGTGCTGCTGAACGGCGAGGCGCGACCGGCGGCCGGCGACCGCGGGCGTTTGGAGGCATAAGGGGGGAGGAGTTGGATGGGAGAGGTGGCCTTGGGAGCTGGATCAGTGTGCAGTGAGTTGATGTAAGATGATGTAAGTCGTTTTAATATATGTACAATGATATACCGGAGTTTCTTTTCTTATGCGAAGCTAGCAACTTGAACCTGCAATCAAAGCGAAGAACCTACCCTACAGTATAACAGCAAGCTAAGCGCATAGGCATAGTCTTCTCAATAGACCTAGCTGTCGTGCTTGTTTAACGGATACGGCCTCACAAGCTCCAACCAGTGGTGTTGCGCAGGCGGTCTTTATGCACGGTGTTTTGTACCAGGCGTGGTGATGCGTGGTGCTGGAAAGACGTTGAGGATCGTTGAGGGTTCATTTAGGGGGGCCTTCTGCACAGCCTGTGCGCGTTCCTTAATGGCATTTCGACGGCATGGTGGAAGAGGTGTTGGTATGTGCTGATTAATCATCACTAGTTGGGGTATAGCGCACTTGGAACATCCGAAGTATCTAACTTTTATAAATACTCTCAAAGCCTGATTCGACAAGTATGTGTTTCACGGGCTTTCCTGGTAGGAATCATAATCATGCCCCTAGTTTACCCCGGTGGTTCAAGATTGCTGTTGTTTTCTATATTTTCAGCTGTGTGTGCGATCCTCTTTTGTTGTGTGTTCAGGAAGCCTAGCCGATCCAAGATGCTTTGTAGGTGAATCAGTGGGGTAGAGCTGTAACATTGCCTTGTACCCAAATCAGGGGTGGAAGGACTGCGGGTTCAACTACCTACTCACATGCACTCACAGATTTTCAAGATGGAGATCAGATTCCATGTGTCGATGCCAAATTCCTTGTTCGCCTCCTTTTCGCCCCAAAAACCGGGATAGGCCTCTCTTTGCTCAACGGAGATGGGCAGACCGGTTCCAAAGGGCCCAATTCCTCGGGTTTTGACATGTTCGACCTCCTGAGTCGCCAGGGATACTGGCCCGAATCGCTCCTCACACCTCCGGACGCGAGCGCGGTGGAGCGAGACCTTCGTGCCATCAAGGCGATGGAAGACCTGGGAAAGGGGAAATTGGAATGATTCAGATGCAGAGTTTGGGCAAATTAGACTACAATTATTTGTGTTATGTGCCAATTGTAAAGGTAAAATGTATAATTTGCACCTAGCTGGGTTCAAAAAAACGAAAACACTTTGCCCACCCCCCAAACGCCCCCTTGAGATACACATCAAGGTGTGCGAAACGATAAGAAAGGGTGAGTTGAAAAACACGCGACGCACCCTCGGAAAAAAGATTGGACAGTTCGGAATTCGAGATTCGACGGTGTTCTATGTAAAAACGGCAAACACTTGCGGGTTAATAGCGCGCTCACGCCGCGCAAAGTAACATTGCAAAGGCACGCAAAATACATATAAAGATAACATGATGCATTTCGTACTACTGTCTTAAGTAAACCCATTTGGACGTATTATATATATATATTGGATATTTATATTAACAATTATATACATGCTCATTGGAATTTGATTGGTTTGCCTTTGATGGTTGAGGACGTTAATTTAATCATTTTTGGGGCTTGGTTTGAAGACCTACTACCTACTGTGTGTGTGCGCGCAGATGCCCAAAAAAACACCACAAGAAGGAGAGTATTTCCGACTTCACCAGTTGATCCGTTACAAGTAAATAGTCAACAACACGGAATATTATGTAGAATATATATATAATAAAGAGTTGATGAGAGCAAAGGTCTTTCAGAAAACTCTTCCAGGCACAGCTCCTGCAGCTGTCCTTTTCTCCTTGTCCTGGTGCAGTAGTAAACATTTTGTCCTCCTTCCTCAAGACCGAAGTGCACGCGGTTAAGTTGGATTGTCGAACTACCTGCATGGGCCCGAATTTGCATGATAAACTGATTTGTGCCGGAATTGTTGAGTGGAAGGTGGCTTATTTTCTTTCTCGCTTCATATGCCGAAGCACGTGAGATTGGGCTGGATGGCATGAAAACCCTCGAAGGCTCCTTCAAAAGCCAAGTGATGCACCCAGGAACTTGATCCCCGCCCGGGCAAAGCCCTTCCTCCATTAGCGCTCTCAGTGCTTGATGTGGCCAGGCCTGTGGCTTCAACACCGTGCGTGTGCATGCAGTGGTGATGCTATACTTTGCTTCAAGAAGGATGTGTTTTTCCCCAAACAGTTTACTGTTGGGGTTCTATCTTAGAAAAATGCGCTGGCCACACTCACTGGCCCCGCCCCTGAACTCTGTGGCTCGTCTCTGCGGCCCGGCTTACTGGAGAGGAGTGTGGCCGAACAAATAGCGATGTCAATGCCGACACAAAATTCATTGATGAAACAGTTTGCTCTTGGGGTGAAGGTAGGACGTACCAAGAAAGCATTGTTTGACTAATATTGGTCTAAACGAAACGTGTTGAAGCTGTTTGGGGTCTATGCTGGTCTAATTGTTTTTCTCCTTCACTTTTCCGATAAGCCATGATAAGCCATTGGCTTTGATCCGGGAGAGGATCGAAGAGAATACAACACCTGGTGTCACCGGGTGCTTGTTGAGCTCAGTTCGGCATGTTGGGACCAAGGTCATGAGCACTACATTCTATTCCCTTTGCGACGAGCTGGGGCTGATGGTTTGGCAGGATCTTTGGCTGCCTTCAAGCTTCTTGCATGCCATCGCATGATGAAATTCTGTAGTATACTTGTAGCCAGTATAGCTTGAATTGCTGGAGAGGTATAGGATGCTCTAGGACTGCATGACTTACCACACTGCTCACACACCACTTCTTTGAGAGGTACCTCAATGGTTGTTGAGAGGTACCTCGCTTTCAAACTGTTGCTTGTCATGTTGAGTTGGCCACTGTGGTCCGACCGTATTTGCCAACCGGTGGAGTTGGCACACGGTGAACAAGTCAGACAGTCAGAGAAACCCAGGGGTCACGGTGAACAAGTCTGCCGCCTGGTTTGCCAATCCAACATTTTGATATATAATGTAAAGCGGTAATGAAGTTGAGCAGTGTGCTTTGCTTCCGTCAGGACATGCCCGCAGGCGACATGCGGGCCATGCCCTTGTGGTGGGATGGCCGAGCCATTGCGGAAGAGTGGAAACTTGGCTGTTTGCATGACTGACTCCCTTTGAGAGCTCAACAACATAGCCGTACAATGCCGTGCAAACCTCCTCATATAGGAGTTGGGACTGCCATTGGTCCAGTCGAACTTCACACTGGACCTTCATAACAGCGTTTTTTCTTAGTTTGAAGAGGTTCCATGTAGGGCTGAAAATTTTGTGGTGCCCTTCTAGTGCCTGAGCCCTTGCATCCTTGCACCTAAGGGCTGACCCTGCTTGGAGGCACTGGCATTCTCAGATCTTCACGGGCAATTGTCAGAGCTTGGGGGTAAGTTGGTTTCTTTTTGCTGGTTGGCGTAGCAGCGTAGCAGTTGGGTTCGTGTCCTAGTTAGGGTTGTGATTTGAGTCACTTGTTGTTTCGTGGCTTACAACGCCAGTTGCTCACGGCCTTGCTGCCCACACTTTTGAGATTAAGACATCCATGAGTTCCATGATGGCAATTGAAACATTGCCCCGTAGAGACCGCCTTCCAGCGGTCTGAACACCACGACCGGCACCGGCACGAACCGCCGCTCAGCTTGGACGAGATCGTTCGCAGCGAACCCAGCCAGAGCGCCTTCTGGCAGGAACTGCAGGTGGGTGACGAAAGCTTATGAGCATGTGGAAAGCCTGTAGCACAACCGCCGCTGCGATACGTGGTGCAGACAAGTTTCTCTTCAAGATGTTCGGCTTGATTTTGTATGTATTGGAGTCTTTCGAAAGATGGAGTGGTTCTATTCTCGGGTTTGCTCGTTGCATCGCAGAACAACAACATAAGTAACATAAGCAACATGACACATTTTGTATCGTGGTATCGTAGAATCATGAGAAACAGGAACTGAAAAATCAGGCCAACAAACGAACGACGAAGCGACTTTTTTTGCAGGCCATGATCAAGTACTTGAAACCCTATCCCTCGATCGTGAGCTGGGTGCTCTTCAATGAGGGCTGGGGGCAAGCAGAGACCCAGGCTCCAATTCCGAAGGTGGTGGTCTTCAGGTGGGTTTGCAGTATACTTTTAGTAACTTAAAATGATTCAATGGATCCACCAACGGCTGTTTCGAAACACTGCTTGGATCCAAAAGGCATCGTAAGCCCCAGTAGAAACCGACCAGCTTTCCTGCTGAAGAAGCTTATGTTGGCATCAAGTGTCCGAGAAGTTGCTAGTCACTTCTACATCGTTTCCTCACTTTCTAATAGCTTCTTGTTACTACTAGTAAGGCATTTGTTACTAGTAGCGATGCACTTGTTCCGTTCGTAGCGAGCCTTGTTACTTTTGGTGCTTGGATTTGTCCGCTTCACTTCTTTACCCCAAACCGGCTGGCCATAGGGCTGGCCAGCACCCTCGCAAACCCGGTCCAGGCGACGGTGGACTGGGTGCGTCAATTGGATTCCACGCGCTTGGTGGATGCAGCTCGGCAAGCTGCGTGGGTCACGTCTAGAGCTTGTTTGGAGGACCGAACCTGGTCACCAAACGCCCGACGTTCCAGGAATTAACAGAACACTGATGCTTGAAACTCGACGGCTTCCAGCAATGGGGTTGTTGGTGGGCTGGAGTGTGCCAGAGAATATGATTACTGTACACTATGTTGGATTCATGCTGAGGTAGGACCTTTAGTCCATCTCCAGATTTAGTGTATCATTTTGAGAGGGAACATTAAAGTTCTATGCCACAGCAGAGGTGGACCAGAGGACGGCTTTTTGGTTCACGGCTGTGGTTCAGGCACATTGCAGTTTGACTCACCAAGCAATACGTCAGAACTTGGTACTTTCGGGAGGCTGCAGCCACTCCACTGAGGCCGTCAGCGGGTGGAACGAGGTTGGAAGTGCGTTGGGGGATTTTGCCGACATCCACAACTACGAGCCTCAGCATGTGTCCTTGGAATCTACTGTTTAGTGAATGTGGGTTCTGTATTCGGGACTCGGCCTCCAGATGCGGAACCTACTGGGTGCACACTGCCTGAAAGAATCATGGAAGGACCAATGACATAGTCCTGGGATGGCCATTTTCCGAATACCAACAGGTGGTTTCGCGCTTCCATGACGATTTCAGTGAGTTTTGTAGCATTGGGTGACAGAACGGTGCATGGGGGGGCATGAGGTCATCAGTCACCAAGCTCAAGAAATCAGGCTTCAAACTCAGGAATATCACTCTTAGGTTGGAGGCTATCCCTACTAGGTTGGCCATTTCTATTAGGTTGGAGGCCATTCCTATTGGGTTGGAGGCCATCGCTAGTAATTAGGTTGGAGGCCATCGCTCTTAGGTTGCAGGTTGTCAGGTGTGATTGCAGTGTCGCTCGAGCTCCTCTTGCTGACAACCTGGTGTGGGTTCCTGTGCCTTGGTTCCTGTGAAACCATGTGCGGTTTTAGTTCTGATGTTCTATCAACCTCAAGGCCATCCACCATCTCAAAGTACTCATGCATCATGGATCATCATGGGCAAAAGATTGCAAAACTACTTTATGTTCTAAGCTGCAGGTGTCGCACAACTGAGGAAGACAACTCCTCTGCCTTTGGTGCCTTGCCCGAGAGCTTTGTAAACTATGCGGCCTGGGGCTACAACATTTCAGGCACAGAACAAGCTGACGCTTTCTCAAACCAACCCAAGTTGATTGATAAAAAGGTACAATGAACATGGGAATCCCCGAAATCCTCATTGACTGACCCCCACAGAAGATGCTTGCATTTGCTGGCCGTGTCAACGCATCCTACACTCTTGGCGTGTGCTTCAAATCTTGTGGAAGTCCATTGCGCCTGTGCCACTCAGGGGCCCAAAGTGTCCAGGTTGGCCTCTAATGATCTAATGACTCTTTTAGTGCATGAGAACCTCGGTTAAGCGGATGTTCTATCAGCCAGCTGCGGATGCATTTGCGGATGGCCACTGGTGATGGAACGCTGTTTTAGCGGGCCAGTTCTGCATCAGGCACCAGCTGGTAATCACCCCTACATCAGCCATGCTTATGTCAGGAGCTCCACAAACTATTATTCCAGTCAGTTCCCTGGGCATTTGGCCTTCCTTTTCTTCGCTTGGCACAAGAGGCCAAGGAGATCACGAGTGAAAGCTGAGGAGCAAGAAGCACAAGCCGAAGAAGAAGGACACGAAGGACAGGGGGGTGAAGCACAAAGTCCCAAGGATGTTCAGGGCACCTGGTTCGACAATGCCCGGCGGGCTTGTGGCATGCAGCGCTATGACCTTTTGGCCCGGATCGCTTTGTCCTTGTCTGATTTAGACACACAACTGTCACTGGTGCACGCTTTAGCCTTCGAATGTTTGAGGCGACCACCTGATTTTCTGAAGCTAGGTTGTGCTTAAACAGTTATTTAGTTTGTCCTTTTATGTCCACTTGTTTATTTGTTTGGGTGGTGTTTGCTCGTGTGCATCCTTGTTCTTTGATTACGGTATTTCGTTGATCGCATCATTTGATGCTTTTGCATGCTGAGGAAGATGGTCCTGCGGACCTTCCGGCAGCGCGACCTGCCGCCCGAGCTGGGCGTCCAGTTGCTCCGTTGCCTGGAGCCTTGGCTGCGCGCACGTGTGCGTGGCATCAAGACCTGGAACGAGATTTTGTATGTGTGGATCTTGGCCGATCGCCTCCAGGACCAAACTGCTGAGGATGTGTTGATTTCTCGGATCAGTTTGCGGGGGGAAGCATTAAATATATCTTTAAGATCATGAGCTCAAGGACTCTGATGATAAGCAACTGACACGCCACAAGTCTCTGTTGTCTATGGATTTTTTTTGTGTTCTCTCCTTTCAACTCGGAAGAGGAGGCCTGGAAGCTCTTCAGGTTGATGGAAGATGATGAGCATTTGCCATCTCCCAATGTGGCTACCTATACAATTCTCCTGCCTGCAGTGGCCAAACATGAAGGACCGCAGGAAGCATTGCGGATCCTTTCCAGGCACAGGGCACTGGGCATTGCGCTGGAACCCATCAGTTGCTTGATGATGGGAGTCATTTTCGCAGCCTTGCCTTCTCCAAATCTGGGAATCTGGGCGAAACTGGAGAGGCACACCGGGCTGAATGTGACCTCCCCGTTTCTAAATTTTGAACAAGGGGGGCGTGAATTATTGGTGAGAGGGGGCACGGCATGGTGTGTGTGTACGTCGAAAAAACGCATGGTGTGCGTTGGAGTGTCGAGTTAGTAGTTGTTGGTTTTCCCATGTATGCGATGCTTTCGCTGGTTTCTGGGCTTTCTTTCACGGCCTGCTGACCACCTGAGAGAGAGAGAGAGCTGAGGAATGGCTCGACTTTACGTGCGGAAGGGTGAACGACTCCTGAGAGACCTCCGAGGTACGGTCCGAATTCATTTCGCGGAGCAAGAGCCACAGCCCCGCGGTCTGTGATTCTTTAGACCTTTGCTGGGTTGACACATCCAACAATGGTCTAAGAAGGTTTAACGAATGTTTAAGTTGAGATTTAAAACTATGCGAATGCCCCATAGTTGCCATAGTTACTTGTAGTGCGCAATTTGCGGAGTCAATGTCATCGGAAAAATAAAGGCTGGACTAGCCCTCCCTTGTCCACGACAGTTCTCACCTGGAAGTGAGATTTGGACTGCGAGCCCTTTTTCTAGTGGAAGGTTGGCAAGCATTCAATCCTTTGAGTTGGCTTCTGGGACTTTGTGTTGTTTTTTTCTGGTTTGCAAGCTCCATGGAGTTTCTTGCATGTCTTCTCTTTTTGCTTCCGTCATCCCAGGTACGACTTGACCTTTCTCTATGCCACAATGATGGCTGGATACCGACGCATCGGCCGGACCAAGGATTGTTTCACCCTGCTGGGCGTGATGCGGCAGCACGGCATTCGACCGAACGAGACATGGAGTAGTAAGAGGATCTGGGAATGTCCAGTTCCGGAAGTTCATTGTTTGGATTTGTTGATTGAGCTTCTGAATGTTGGATCTTGCATAGTAAGCTCCGTCCTCCCTGTTGGCAAACATTTTAAGTGAATAGGGTCAGCCCCACCAAAAGTACAAGTACTACTACTACTACTATTACTACTACTACTACTACTACTACTACTACTACGAGTACTAGTAAGCACCAAGCACCAGGCACCAAGCATAATAGTAGCAGTAGCAGCAGCAGTAGGAGCAGTAGTTGTTGTTAGTAGCAGTAGTAGTAGTAGTAG